ATATTTCATACAGTTCACCATTTAAAGTATACAAATCTTTCCGTTCACACTATCTAATTTCAGGACAGTTTCAGCCCCTTAAAAAATACCTTTAATTGGGCCGGGGATTTAGCTCAGTGGTGCTGCCGCCTGCCTCACAAGCACAAGGTCCCAAGTTTGATCCCTGGTACCAAAAAAAAAATAATAAAATAAATTAAAAAATAAATAAACTAATTTATTCAGAGCAGGCATTTATTGACAGTTGGATAGACATATCAATGAATGAATAAAACCGTGGAGGAGCAAACAAGTATACAGATTCTTCGTTACTGCTTTTGATTCAATGGAAGGAAACAAAGGCTACCTCGAGCTTTATAAATGAAGGCAGTGAGTGAATGAACAAACTAAGACTTGCACCTCCTCAGTGTTTAGCCTGTGTGGTTTTAAATGTAATACTGTTTATTTAACTTTGAAAACATTTCAGCATTCTAAACATAAAAAATAACATAATCTTGGAAATCATGTTTAAGTTCTGAATGTTGTTGAACTTTCGTTGATGCAGTGGCTCTTTGCTAACAATGAAGAGTTCTACAGTTTGTTTAAAAACAGTTTCGACCTACTGGATTTAACTCCAAACAAAACATAACCCCAAACATTTCTGATGCCTGCTCACCCACCTTGGCCCCAGCTAAGAGGGTCAGCAAGATGCTAAATTACTGTATACAAAAACAAGATACCAGGTGTGATAGTGCATGCCTGTAATCCCAGCACTTGGGAGCCTGAGGGAGAAAGATCATCTCAAGTTTCAGGCCAGTCTGGGCTACATGGTGAGTTCAAGGCCAAACTGGACTATGTAGTGAGATCCCATCTCACACAAAACAAAACAAAACAAAACAACTCCAAGCTGGTTATGGTGGCACACGCCTGTAATCCCAGCACTTGGGAGGCTGAGGCAGGAGGATTATCATGAGTTTGAGTCCGACCAGGGCAACATAGTGAGTTCAAGCCCAGCCAGAACTGGATACTGAGACCCTGTCACAAAAAACAAAACAAAAACAATAAAAAAACTCCAAACAAACAAAAACCCCAAGATAGCTTGAAGTTCAATGGATGCCTGCCACAGAGTCAGCTTCAACAGGTTCAGCCTCACAGTACACACCCTGAGCTGTGGTCCCCTCACTCCCAAAGGCACTGTCCCCTTAGCCTTAGTGGCAAGGCAAGGAGCATCAAGGGTTTGTCTCAGTTGCTCTATTCTTTTTACAAACTCTAGATATGTAGAGTTGATAGCTCAGGATTTCTAGCTAATAACTATACAGTTAACAACACATTACAGATTAAAAAAAATACCAGGGACATCATCACACCAATAGCAAAGAGCACAGAGTGAGAACACATGAGAGTGCCTTTTCATTAAAAAAATTGTTTTTGAGACAGGGTCTCAGTATGCAGTTCAGGCTGGCCTTGAAGTCACTATGTAGCCCAGGTTGGCCTCAAGCTCACACCGATCCTCCTGCCTCAGCCTCCCGAGTGCTGGGATCACAGGTGTACATCACCACACCAGGCTTAAAAATGTCTGGACAGGGCCAGGGATTTAGCTCCATGGTTTCACCCCCTGCTGTGCAAGCACAAGGACCTGAGTTCAATCCCCAGTACCCCCCCCCCAAATGTCTGGACACATGTAAAACTTTTTGATAGAGTTTCATAGTGCTCCGGGCACCCATGGCTATATCATGTCAACCCCTGATAACATCTAGAGCACCTTCAGAGACTATAATTTGATTGAGATCAAATTCCATAATCAAACCTAGCGAGGGCAGCACAGTGTCTGAAAGAAGAGACAGTCAGTCATGGCACTGCCCTACTGTAAGGGATTCACAAGAAGACAGAGAAATAATTTGTTATTCCCCTCCCTCCTTTTCTTCATCTTCTTCCACCTTTTTCTGGGCAGCTTTAGTGGGACCCTTTGTGCCACCCAACTTTCTTTTAGACTTGTAGTCGGCCATGTCCTTCTTTGCTTCAGCTTTGCTGCCTTTTCACTGTCACATAAGCTATTCCATATCCCACCCAGCTTTTTGGCCGTGTCTCCAAGAGATACCAGGGTTTGTGGATTTGGTGTTGCAGTGAAATTCTGAGCAAAACAGGAAGAATCCCGATGGTGGTCTTTTAGGGGCATCAGGGTCCTTTTTCTTCTTGCCTCCCTTCGCTGGCCCATAATCTTTCATCTCTCCATCACAGTGTACTTTATCTGCCTTTGCCATTTCATCAAACTTAGGTTTCTCTTTCCTGGACATTGTCTTCCACCACTCAGAGAGCTTCTTGGAAAATTCAGCAAAATCCACAGGGACCTCTGGGTTTTTCTTCTTATGCTCTCCTCTGCCCTCCTAAATGAAGAAGGCATAAGCAGGCATCTGCCCTCCTGCTTCCTGGGGTCCTCATTAGCCATCCTGACTGTATTGTTGGAGTCAGGCAGGACAGGCAGCTCAGCGCTCCCCAGCCTCGAACTACCTGCCTTCATGAGAGCCACTGACAGCCTGTGTTTACTGAGTAATGAACAAAGGAGAGAATGAAAATAAGAAGTGACTTTGTACCTAGGAAGTGTTCAAGCTATGCTTGTGGGATGAAGGGATGGATGACAGCCAGGAATGAATGAGGGCTGGCACATGATAGGTACACAGTTCTTAGTCTGCATGAGCTCACACGGAATCCAGACTCGGGACAGATAGCTGCATGAAGGTGGGAGGGAGAGATGAATAAACAAGAGCCTGGGCTGGTGATGCACTGTTGTGGTCTCAGCACTCAGGAGGCTGTGGCCGGAGAATCCCCACAAGTTAGAGGCCAGCCTGGGCTACATAGTGAGGTCAGGGCCAACCTGGACTACACAGCAAGACCCTGTTTCAGGAAACAAAACCAAACCGAAAAACAGCCTTGATGAATGGATGAAAGAGTAGATGAGAGGAGGCCTGAAACTACGGCAGGGTGTGTGGGATGGAGGGGATATCAGGGCCTGGCACACACTGTGGCAACACAGCTGTGGTTGGCAACACAAAAGCCTGAATTTGGCTTCCAGGTGGCTGTGTTTGGAGAACTCCCCGTGCTATGATACCGTCCCCCAAAGCATCTTCTCACCTGAATTCTTCTTCAAGGTGTTGGTGAGCAATAGGTGAGCCAGGCACATGGTCCAAGTGGGGGTTGGTGTGTCCTCAACTCCTCCCCAATCCTGGATCCATCCCCCACCAGAGGCGTGGACAGTAGCACATACTGTGACTACCAGCTCATCTTCCTGCTGCACATCCACGGGCTCCCGCTCAGCTTCTGGCGTGCCCTTTTAATTGCCATTGTGAGTGGTGGCCTGGGAGTTGTCCCGCTGGGCGGGCAGGGGGCTCTTGGGCTGGGTCCCCATGCCTGCTCCTGGTGCCCTCAGGTGTCGGCCAGCGTGTGTGTGGGCCTGGTGATCCTCTACGTCACCTTCTGCCTCCTGTGGCCCCTTATGGTGAAGGCTTGGAACATGTTCCTCTGGAAGAGGAATGCAGTCATCACCTTGGAGTCCTACTGCTCCTACGCCATGTCCACCAAGTCCACAAGCAGCTCATCGCAGACAAGTGGCAATGCCAACTCCAAGATCACCTCCAAAGTTACCCTAACAGAGGATGAAGGGGACAAGGCTGTGGCTGAGGAAGCTGTAGGCAATGAGACACTGACCTGAGCCTCTTGCTTGCCTTAACCCCTTCCCCACCCGTGGTTTCTCCTAGTAGCCCATCCTGGGAATGCAGCTGGCTCCCACCCCAGCCTTTGTTTTGCTTGAATGTTCACTTCTTATTCAGACCCAAATAAAGCCCTATTTCAGGACCAGCCATGAGTCTTCAGAAGAACTCCTGTTTCATTGGTTTGTACTAACACAGCTGCACAGGTCCTGAGAATATCAAAATTTAGCTGGGCTTAGTGGTGCACACCTGTAATCCTAGCACTCTGGGAGGCTGAGGCAGGAGGATTGCAAGTTTAAGCCCAGCCTGGGCAATTTAGTGACTTAGTCAGACCCCGTCTCAAGATAAAAAATTTAAGCCAGGGAGTAGCTCAGTGGCAGTGAGCCTGCCTGGAAAGCTCAAGGTCCTGAGCTCAATCCCTGGTACCAAAAAAAAAATTTAAAAGGTCTGGGGATGTAGCTTAGTGCAAAGGCCCTAAGAGAACTCCCCATGGTTCAATCCCCAGTACTGAAGTTGTGCGTGTGTGTGTGTGTGTGTGTGTGTGTGTGTGTGTGTGTGTAAGTAAATCTGTGCCAGCTGGCAAATAGCAGGTTCTCTGTGTGCCTGTCATGTCCTACAAATATCCAGGTTGAAAGATCAGGGCCCACTGGAGGTGCAGGTGCCATGAAACCTAAGAGAGAGGCAGGTAGATCCAGAATTGCACAGAATGTAATTTATTGAGGATTTGCATGGCCCTGGGTGGCAGCATGAATGGTAGATCCCACAACTTGGGTCAGGTGGAGGGAACTTACACAGAGGTCAGGACAAAAGTGACTTCATCCAAGTCAAAATGTACCTAGTTTATCTCAGGTTAATGCCAAAGATGTTGGTACAGAGATGGTACAAAGATGTTGGTACAAAGATGTTGGCTAGAAAACTACACAGGGTGGGAAACTGGCCCATGTTTCCCAGGGGCAACATCACAGTTACAACTCAAGATGGCTACTGTCAGGTCAAGATGGATCTGGACCCTGTCAGCTCAGCCCCTCCCTGGAGTGTCCCAGCAGGGTCCTCTATGACCCTGACCCATCTCTATGGCCTATACCATTGATTGGTTGGTGGCCCCATTGCTAAAGATTTGAATGTCTACATCTATTTAGTATCTTTAGGTGTGGGGGGGGGCAGCTCTGAGAGGTTAGCATTTTAATTTTATCTGCAAGTAGTAAAAATTTCACTCAAGTGGTCTACATGGAAATGGTAATTTATGGGTTATCATAGGCTTCAGGTACAGTTTGATCTAGAAGTTCTCAGTATCTGCAGGATTCTGGCTCCATTTCTCTGTAGTTTTTTCCCCAATCATCTGCTCTCCTCTGAGTGTGGTCCTCTGACCTCCAGGCAATAATCTTCATTATCTGGGGCTGCCATATCCAGAGACAGAAGGCACTGGGGTCCAACACTCTTGGCCAAAAGTTGTCAGTCACTCTGACTGGATGAATTTGGGTCACAAGATCACTATTTTACTAATCACATTGCCAGAGGGATGGCGCCTCAATTGGCCAATCATATCCCACTCCTGGAGCTCAGAGCAGTCGATCCCACTCTAATCTTTTGTTCGTGTGTGGGGAAGGTAGTTCTGAGGAAATCCAGCTGTCAGAAAGGAGGAGAGAGAGAGGAGACTGGGCAGGCGATGTCCACCCAGTGGCACACTCCAGCCCCTTCCCAGGCCTTTGGGTAGAGTGACTATGGGGTCCTCCCAGGGAAGCAGCAAGGCAGGGATGGGGCAGAAGGGAGCTTCGATGGAGGGAAACCTGGGGTGGGGAACGGGAGAAAGGAGGTGGGAGGAATGCTCTGGAGGCCAAAAACAGTCTGGGGCTTGCAGGCCATGGAGAGTTAGGAGTGAAGGAGGCATTTAGAAGACCCAGAGATGAGGACCAGGGAGAAGTAGCAGGTTTGGAAGAGATCCTGGGGCCAGGTAAGATGACATCGGGTGTGAGGGGTCTGGAAGCCATCCAGGAGCCATGTGTACTCCAGACCTGTGGCCCAGGATGATCAAACAGGCGTCACTACAGTCACCAGTCCAGACTCATATGTCACAAAATCAATCCCATCAATGACGGAAAGGAGAATGAGATGGTAGAATGTTCTGTTTTGATCCCTTTACTTGAATTATTTTCGGTAACCCTCGTTAAGATCTAGCAGGAACATTCTGTCATTATGTCCATATCACAGATGAGAAAACAAAGGGTTGGATGTGTGACAAAATTTCTTCTTATAAAGATGCCAGTCAGATTGCAGTCTTAGAGCCCATACTACCAGCCTTATTTTAACTCAACCACCTCTTTCAAGGCCCTATTTTGGATCCAAATGCAGTCATATTTGGAGGTATTAGGAGTTGGGGCTTCAATATATGAATCTGGGGTGGGGAGGGACACAACCAGCCCAAGGAGACATAGATTCAATACAATTGAGAATCTCAATGATAATTTTGTACAAATAGAAAAACCCGTCCTGAAATTCATATGGAATTTTAGGGGACCCCAAATGCCCTCAAATATCTTGAAATACCAGAACAAAGTGGGAGGACTTATAATTTCCTGATTTCAAAATTTAAAACAGCTGGGCAAGGTGGCCCACACCTGTAATCCCAGCACTCAGGAGGCTGAAATAGGGAGATCAGCCAGAGTTCCAGACCAGCCTGGGCTACATTAGTGAGTTCAAGATCAGCCTGAAACTACGTAGCAAGACCCTTTCTCAAAAATCTAACAAAATGTTAAAGTTACAGTCTGAAAATGATGTGGTAGTGGCATAAAAACAGCCATACAGACCAAAGTGACAGAGACCCCAGAATAAGTCCTCACATATATGGCCAACTGATTTTTTTTTTTTTTTTAGGAGATGGGTGACACGTTCCTTCTACGCAATTATTTTGATTTAATTAATTAATTGTGGTATTAGGAATTGAGCCTAGAGGCATTCTACCACTGAGCTACATCCTCAGCCCCCTTTTAAAAATTTGAGACAGAGGCTGGGGATGTAGCTCAGTGGCACTGCACCTGCCTTGTAAGTGCAAAGTCCTGAGTTCCATCTTCAGTACTGAGAAAATTTTTTTTTTGTTTTTTTGAGACAGCATGTGGCGCAATTGCCCAGACTGACTTCAAACTTGTGATTCTCCTGTTTCCACCTTCAGAGTAGCTGGGATTACAGGGGTGTACCATTGTGCCAGGTTGAAATATTTTTATTTTTGCTAAAACCGGAGGATCAATCGAAAGTTTAAACCCAGACAACTTCACAATTTAGAGATCTTATCTCTAAAAAGTCAGTAAGTAAATTAAGGGTTGGGAGTGTAGATGAAAGTGCCTGCCCGGGAAAAAAAAAAAGAAAGAAAGTGCCTGCCCGGACATTCTAGATAACAGGAGCAGAATCGGCTTTAAGAAAAAAAGATGAAAGCTGGGCGTGGTGATGCACACCTAAAATCCCAGTATTTGAGAGGCTGAGGCAGGAGAATTGCTGCAAGTACGAGGCCAGCCTGGGTCACATAGTGAATGCGAGGCCAGCCAGGACTACATAGTGAGACACTGTCTCAAAAAATTAAAACAAACAAAAAGATGTTGAATAGGGAAATGTAATATCTATGCATCAGTGGAGAATGTAAGAATTTGGATTAAAAACAATTGGGAAACCTCTGCTTCTCTGTGGCATTCAAAGTCATAGGACTGGATTTTTGTAAATAGTTTATGCTTATTTGTAAGAGACTGGAGAAAAACGCAGAAGGATGACACACTGAGAAAGAGATTGGAGAGACCTAGGTTCAAATCCTCGCTGCTAGCCCTTTGGAAATTTACCCAGGCTCTACCAGCTTGTCTATAAAATAATGGAGCTGTCCAAATGGCTCCATATCGCCACCTCTTGGCTTACAGAAGCTGCCTGCGGAACCTCGAAGACAGTGACGTATCGGTCCGAACGCACAGGCTGAAGCCAGGGCGGCCATATTGACTAATGGAGTTGGGTGGGACTATGAGACAGCTGTCATTTTCAGTTGGGACAAACGACTTCCGGTCACCATTTTGAGTGACAGCAAAGGCGGAGCTCCAAGTGAAATGTTCATTAAGGGCAGGGCTTCGAGGGCGCCTGTAGGGCAGCGACGACCGCACAGCACCCTCCGCCGACAGAGGCGGGTAGTCGTAGCACCGCCCCCAGCCTTGGACTCCACCTCTCGGCCCTACTTCCGCCGGCGAGCGGGAGTTCGTAGGCGTCGCTGCCGTAAACCGGGCGGGAGGTTTGCCGCATCACGGAAGATGGCGGCTGCGACGGTGAACGGGGCGACGGGAGTCTCGAGCACCGCGGCGGCCTCGGGTGCTGTCCTGCAGGCCGCAGCCGGCATGTACGAACAACTGAAGGGCGAGTGGAACCGCAAAAGCCCCAATCTTAGCAAATGCGGGGAAGAGCTGGGCCGCCTCAAGGTAGGGTCGACGGGCCCAGGGAGCCAGGGGCTTGCGGTGGGCGCTTCGAAGGGTCTGATCACAGCCAGGTTCCGTGCCACCGCAGAGTCCTCGGTGTCCACCTGAACAAGGTTCCGCGATCTGAAAGGTCCGGAGATCCAGAATAATTGGTTCGGAGAGCTTGGAGGGGTCAAGAAATAAAGAGGGCCTGGGACGCACTGAAAGCAACTCCATGGGGTAGGGGATGGGGAGGGAGCGATGGAAAGACTAGTTAATGGCAGAGTCGGGAGAGGCGGTAAAATTTTGGTGCTCACAATTTTGCTTTCTGATTGTAGGGGCAAAGTGGGTGTGTCGGGTTTTTTCTGATCACGGGTTCCAGACAAGACTAAGTGGGGAATGAGGGCACAGGTGATGAAAGCAAGACACTGAGATGTCGATGTGTGTAGGGGATGTTGTACTTAAGACCAGGCCAAAGGGCCGGGTATTTAGGTCAGTGGTTCCGCCGCCTGTCTTGCAGGCGCAAGGACCCGAGTTCGATCCCCGATACCAAAATAAAAAAGACCAGCCCAAGTTAGGGTCTGAGAGATCTGGGGTTTAGGGATGCATCTCCGTGGGGAAGGAGCCCAGCTTAGTTGTAGGGGCAAAACTAAACCTGGGAGTATGGGGTTCAGGTTGCTTCAGACCCAGTGTGTTTGGGAGAGAATATAAATATACTGTATTAAGTTGAACAAAGTTGC